GCTTTGGGGTGCGCACCGCTCTCCATGTGAACGGGGGAGCCCGGGCCGCGGCCACCCAGCCCACTCCCGCAGCAGGCGCCTGGCACGCAGAGCAGCTGGAGGTCTTGGGGGCGGGAGGGGCATGGCTCTCAGACTCGGCAAAGGCCCGGGCACACGTGCAGTCCCCAGGTGGCGCGGTGCCAGGGCCCGGCCGCCCCTGGTGCGGAAAGTGGCTGCAGAAGACCGGGCCTGCCCTGGAGGCTGGACACGGCACGCTGGCCTTTGCCACGCCGCGGGCGTCAACAGCGAGGGGCCGGCAGGTGAGCAGACGGGCAGCGTTCCTGCCGCCAGCCTGCCCCCGAAGGCGGCCGTGCCAGGGCTCCTCAGGGCGGCACCCAGAGCCCCGGCCCTCCGTGCTCGCTCGGTCAGCCTGGATGCCCCTTGCGTTCCACCCCCTATTTCCACCTGCATCATCCACCTCAGAAGACAAGATTTGTGTCCACCCCAACTCGACCCTTCCAAAGCAGAGCGGCCAGCCTTCCGGGCGACGCTGACCCTACCCACGCCGGCCCCTGGAGGGGCAGGGAGGAGCAGGACTCGGGGTTACTGGAGCCCTGGAGGCGTCCTCTGGGACAGGCAGAGGCGAAGCCTGAGCTAAACCCATCAGCCGGAGGCGAGTTTAATGCAGCAGCGCTGTGCTAAAATGCTCATGGAAAAGAAGTTGCTTTGGCTAGCATTCAGACTCCCGTTTAGTGAAAGATTTTATTGTGTAAAGGAGAATTTTAAACGCAGATAAATCTGAATTTCACCTTGAATCTGCAGTGCGCGGTTGACTAAACTAGGCGTAACAGACTTCAGGCGGCAGGCCTGAGACCCGGTCCAGTGACTCCTGCACCCCACGGACTCCTCAGGCCCAGCCCCCCACGGCTGAGGCTTTAAAGGGCATTTTAGGGACAGCTGAGAGGGCGAAGCAGCCGGCAGAGCGACCTCCGGTGGGGGAGGGGAGCAGAGGGCCTCAGAGCCTAAGGGCAGCCCAGAGCGCGCCCAGGCCCCACCTCCTGCGCCCGCCAATGCCTGGTGGAAGGCTCTAGAGCAGTCAGGTGAAAAGGGAAAAGAAAACCTGCAGGAGACCTTCGTGAGGACAGAATTTATAAGGAAACGCAGAACCTTCCCCGTCATCACTCAGCTTTCCTCGCCGCGGCCCCTATGTTCTCCACGTAGGATAAGTACTCGGCAATGATGAGCTCTTCCTCTTCCAGGGTGGAGTCAAGGTAATCCTCCTCGTGCTCCGGAATGTCTTCCAGGATTTCGTTGACGGCCTCCGTCTCTATGTCTTCGTCTGTGGAGGCGCTGGAGGTGCCTGCCGGGAAGGGCCGGCCCAGTCAGGTGGCGCAACTGGAGTCCCCGCGCCGGGCCCCGCGGCCCGCCCCGCGCCAGGACCCACCTGCAGAGTCTGACGGGGACGTGGAGGGCGTCGATGAGGAATCCTGCGGCGAGAGCTGGAGGTCGGGGGGCAGGCTCCCTCCGTTGAGCGCCAGGGTCTGAGACGCCAGCTGGACGTTACCCCGGAAGACCGTCAGGGCAGCTGTGGCCGCGCCCACATCGAAGCCCATGTACACCAGCTGCGGGGAGGCGCGGGTGAGGCCGCAGGAGGGGCCTGGGCGTGCGGCTGCATGGCCGTGACCTCACCTCAGTAGCTGGCGGGGGGCCCCGACCGGAGGGGCCTAAGGCCGCCGCCTCTGGGTGTGAACCCCCTGTGCCTGCTCACTTCACCCGCAGCTGCCGCCCTGCCGCCCACGTCACCCAGCCGGTCCCGCGGGGGGCAGGCTCAGGGCGCGCCACTCACTCTGTCGATGTCCTCCTGGGAAGCGCCGTCTTGGTGGTGGCTGCTCTCGGGACTTGAGTCGTTCAGCCACCACATCTGGGGGTTATGGAGGAGGATCTAGACAACACAGGCTCCCGTCAGGCAGCTGCCCGTCGGCCCACGGGGGCGGGGGCGGCGGCCCGGCAGCCTCACCTTCTTGGCCTCCTCCAGGTTCCCGCTGGCCAGCTGGAGGGCCTGCCGGGCCGCGCGGCCGGAATAGCCCATCTTCTTCAGAGAGCTGATGTTCTCCAGGCGGCGTCTTTTCTTCTCCTTCTCCTCTTTCCGTATCTTGGCCAGTTCCTGTGGGGAGACCGCAAAGCTCCAGGTGGCGGCTGAGGCTGGGCACCTTCCCCGTCTACGCCGCACCAGCGCAGGGTTCCGGGGCGACCAGGAAGCTCGGGAGACAAGAGGCGGCGCTGCTGGCTGGGAGAGGCCCGCCCAGGCCCAGGCGGGCGCAGCTCCTGGAAGCCCACGGCCGGGCACCGCCCCCAGCCGGGTCCCGAGAGGGGCGGCAGAAGGGTCTGTGGCCAGTTTGCGATGGAAACGCCTCCCCGCCCAGCCCTGCGGCCCACGGGAGCCAGCTCCTTTGCCACAGGCCGGCCTGCCCGCGACTGCAGTCTGCAGCGATCTCTGGGCAAGACGCCACCGCGCTCCGCCCCCCAAGGGTTCCCCGAAACGCAGCACGGGAGCAACAGCAGCTCGCGTGCCTGGCAGCAGGCCGCTTAGGGGCTACCTGCCGCCACCGCGAGAAACAAGCGAAAGCGCCCGGGTGACAGCCGCCGCCAGGACACGCATCTCGCCCGCCGGCGAGGGCGGCTTCTCGGCGCCGACCGGGAATCACCCAGCCGTCCCTCACTGCGCACCGGCCGCGCCCCGGCGCCACGCGCAGGCCCGCCAGGTCCGCGTACCTCTCTGCGGCTGGTGATGTGGGCCGCCGCGTGGTCCACGTTCCCCTCACACGCCCTGAGGCCCAGCCGGGCTTCCTGGGGGGTGAACCCCAGCTGCAGCAAGCTGTGAACTTTCGACGGATCGATGTACAGCTCTCTGAAGAGCTGCTGTGCCTGCAGGCGGAGAGGAGGTCAGGAGCGTGCGGCACGGAGCGTGGAGCTTGGCAGAGACCGTCCGGAGGGAAGGAGGCCGTCCCCGTGCGAAGCGGGCTGTGCTGGGCTTGAGATGAAGCCCTGAACCTGCCCTCGTGATCGGGCGTAAATGCTCCCGCTCCCGGGCTCGCTGCCGCGGGACGGCTGTGCCCACAACCTCCCGCGTGGTGGTGAAGCCCTGACTGCTGGGCCCGCCTGCCCTCAGCAGCGGCAGGTGGTGAGGTCTGGGGGTGGCTGCGGGGTGCTCGCGCCTTCTACTGGCAGGAGAGGGACTGATGGCGTGGCCGGGCGCCGCCAGGGACCCCCAGGAGGGACTTGGCCGCGTCCCTCGCTACCTCTGCAGGCTCCTTTACTCCCGCAACTGGCCTGGTCGGGAAAGCCAAATATACTTATGGTATATGAGGCGGGACATGCAGGTTCCTCACAAGGCACAAATGTGTGGGTTCACAAAAAGACTTGGGGGGACAGTCACGTAGGTGAACACAGTTACCGCTCTGGGGCGCTCTTTCTTACCTTGTTGAGATACTCACAAGCCGCCTCACCATTCCCACTGTGGTAGTTTCGGATGCCCTGAAGCAAGTACAGTCTTAAGAACAACACCTTCTCCTTCCCGCAATTTCCCTGGAGGTATTGGGGGAAGAAAGCAAAGGGTCTCACGTGGAATCGCAGGCCGGAGCCCTCAGTCGCACCCCTCGGCCGCACAGGCAGTGGCAGCTCAGAGCGGTTTCAGGGCCCCAGGCCAAGTCTGCATGCAGCCTGCCCCCAGGGGCCCGGGCCGCCCTGGCCCCCCATGCCGCCCCCGCCCCCCCCAGCAGCCCTCCCCGCCAGCAGGGAGGAGCTCGAGCTCCGGCCACATTCGGGCAGCTCGCGGCAACCAGCTGGAAACTCCTCACTCCAGCGACAGCCCAGCCCGGCTCACTCCTGGGCAGCGTCTCGCTCGCGACCCACTTTCTGCAGGAAACCGCCCACTAGTCCGAGCAGTCCCGGCGCCCTGGCCCGAAGGGACCTTGGGGACCGCCCGGCAGCCCGCGCCACAGACCGCAGCGGAGCCCGGGCTGCGAGCCTGGACTCTCCCTCACTCACAGCTTCCCACAGGGTGCAGAGTGGCCCGTGGGCAGCAGCCAGAAGTGCCCGCAGAGGCTAGAGCGGGGCTCGGTGACACACTGGCTCAGTAACGTACTTTTATGTGGACCAGTCGCTGATGGTTTTCTCCGTAACAATTCTTAAAGCATCTCTGGGCCAGGCTGAGCTTTTTCTCCGCGTCATCCAGGCAGTCCAGCTGCCCCAGGCGGAAGTAGCACCACACGATGTCCAGCTGTAGCACCGCGTAGTTGTCCACCGTGTCCAGCAGCTCCCGGCAGCACTCGCTGGGAGGAAGCAGACGGCCCGTCACCATACAGCAGCACCTTGCGTGCGTGACTGGACTCCCTGTCCGGCTCGGGGTACCCCCGAGACTGCTCACGACGGGACGGTGTGTGTCACTGGACCTTCCAGCGGGCGAGGCGGTGAGGCTCCAGGACGGCGCTCGGCGTGCCTGCGCCCGTGCTAGGCTGGGAAGGCCTTGGCAGGAAACGGGGTCCGTGTGGGCCCCTCGGCAGATAGGGAGGCCGTGTCCCGAGCAGCGGGCTCCGCCCTGGCCGCCAGAACTGCTGGGCCTGAGGCGGCGCCTTTCCTCTGGGCAACACGGATGCTGGGGCCCACGAAGGGCCCTGTGATGGCATCTCTGGTGGGGAGGCCTGAGGGATAACCCCACAAAGCCAAGGGCGAGGAAAGGTGCTTCAAAGACACACCAAAAGTCTGTCCACAATGAACGCTCAACGAGGAAGACCGGCCGCTCGCCCACCGCCGCCAGCCAGCAGCGACAGCGGTTCAGGACACGCCCGCCCGATGCCTCGCTGTACGGGGCAGGCAGAGGCAGACCCAGACGGGGGCCGCCGAGATGCGCATCCAGGTGGTTTGTTCTGACTGAGTTGTGTCCTGTGAGGAGCTCACGATGCAAGTGTGGCCCCCAGGACACACACGCCTGGCTCGGTGAGCAAGCACCCCCTAAGCAAGACTGCCCTTGCAGAGAGCTAGCGGCTCCATGCCCTGGCGCTTCCCGTCACGCCTGGAAAAAAGAACAAGCCCAAAAAGCACTTGACTTTGCTGTCTGCACGTAAAAGCTGCTGACCCCAAAGGCGCCCACATCTCAGGGCAGAAGAAACACGCCAGAGAGGGCATTTCTGTCCTCGGTGAGTGCGTCTAACGTGCATCCTACGCTTCACACGCATGGGAGTGTGACTGGCGAGAGCGCTCCCGGCCCTTCTCCCTGCCTGAGCTCTCCACCAAGCACAGAGCGCGCGGCTGTGCACGCAGCCGGCCTCACGCCAGGCGAGACCGACAGGCTGCCTCTGCACACCCTGCTCTGCGCCAAGGCCAGCCTGCCTGGGCGGGGAAGCATGGGTGCAGCTTCCGGCAGTTTACACGCGTGAACAGGTTCACCTGGATGCTGTGATCACGAGCATCCAGAGCAAGAGCCAAAATAGTATCATGGAAGCAAGTGCAACACAGAGCGGAGTACTATACAGCCAGGGAAACGCAATCCACGTGTAAGTCTTATACTAGAGGTGTCGATCACTCTGCAGTGTCAACAGTAACACCTGCGGTCCGCGCACAGGCCTACCACGAGATGAACAGCTTCACTGCGATGGCTTCACAAAAAAAACACACTCAGAACAACACTGAGTTGGTCTCACGTGGGAATGTTGATCAGTTTCCCCTAGTTTTAACTGAGCTAGCTTTTTTTTTTTTTTTTTTTTTAACTGAGTTAGCTGAGCGCTCTCAGCTCGGCTCCTGGCTGTGTGGAGCGAGCTCGGGCCCCGTGGCCCCTTCACACCATCCCCAGGCTGGTGTCTGGGGGTTTGGCCTCATCTTTCAGGGAGTTTCTCTGTGTGGCCTGCCGACATTCCTGGGACTAGTCACGTCTCTCAGCCTGGGGCGGCTCCATGGCCTGTGAAGTTCTGCTCCCGGGACTCTTGAGTGACTGTCACCTCCAGACTCTTAGCGTCTGTGTCACTTGTGGGCCCGAGTCTGCGGGCTAAGTTTCATCCTCACTAGGGGCTGTATGTTCTGGCTGCTTCAGGCTGATTTAGCTGGGCGCTGGACACCGAGCTGTTGCGGCCAGCGCGGGAAGCCGGAAGCGGGCCGCAGGCCGCGGCACCTGGGGCCAGCCCGCCTTCCGCTGAGACAGGCCCTTCTGAGCCTCCGAGACTAGAGGCCCCACGACTGCGGTTCCCACCGGGGCTGACGGGAAGGCGGGTTATCCCTGGCCCTCCACGGATCTGAGATTGCCCTCTCTGCTCTCGGGGTGCTTCCTCTCCCCTCAGCTTCCTCACAGGCCTGAGCTGGCCCTCAGCAAAGGACTCAAAGGCGCCCCTCTGGAGGTCCGACTCCTCCCTCAGTCTGCCCTCTCCTCTCACCTCTTGGGCTCCACCTTGTTCCAGGAATCCATCACAATAAAAAAATAACACAAGATTTGTAAAGTCTTGATCGTTTTCAAATCCTCCGCCCGTCTTCCAAGTGCTCACCTGCTTGCTTCATGCCCTTGCGAACTGCCAGCTCCGGGCACAGAGCCCGGGACGTGGCTGGGCCTCTGAGACCAGAAGCGAAGGCTGCCAGGTCAGGGCAGCAGGACCGGGCTGCCTGCCAGCCAACGATGGTCCGGGGACCCCGAGGCGTGGGCCACTTCAACACGCCACAGTCCCCAAGCTCATCCGGATGCTTCTGGGAAAGGCAACTGCCCCCTCAGATCACCTCGCAGGTGCCACCGGGAAACAACCGCCCGTGAAAGAAAGAACCAGGCACTTTGTCCTGCCTGCTGCACCTCGGCACAACTGGAGCTGAGGAAAAGCACTTCTGCGGCCGCACAGGCAGGAGGCGGATGCGGCCCCACCCGTCGCCCAGCCCTGGGCGTCGCCGCACTGGAGGCCGAGGTCAACACCCAAGACAGTGCTGCTGCCCGCACGGCGCGCGTGTCCCCCAGCGCCACAGACGGGACGGGAGAAGGCGCCCGCGCCGGCCGCGCCAGTGACTGCCACTCGCAGCAGCTGTCTGCCCCCGCGGGCACCGAGCCCAAGTGCCTACCAGAAGTATCTGTCTGCGTCCAACAGACACGGCAGGGCGATCCCATACTCTCGTCTCTTCAGGGAAGCTCTGCCCTTCTCGTGATAGCCCATGGCCAACATGAGGGCCTGGAGAAAGAGGGGCGGAAGGACATCACCTTAGACGCAGCGAGCCGCACACGAGCACAGTAAGCCTAGGGAAGCCAAACACATTAAAAAACACCGCAACAAATCTGAAAGTGAAAATGAAGGGAAAGTCCAATCAAGAGTATTTCACGGAGACCCAAAGCCGAGGCTGATTCAGGGGCCGACAAGCCCAGCCAGCGCCTGCACCCCCTCCAGAGTCTGGCCGGACGTGGGCCCTGCCCGCAGGAAGGCAGCCTGTGGGGCCCAGGCCCTTTCCAATGGGCATTTACCTCACAGTCACTTTCTATTTTTCACCTGAAAGTTGTAAATTCTAGCATTTCCAAAACAATTCTTAAATGGTGTTCCAAAATACCTTTAAGTTGGCATTTTAGATTTAAATTTTGAGGCAGTGCCTCCCTGGGGGCGCAGAGGTTAAAGACACAGCGCTGGCAAGCTGCCCACAGCCACTGCAGCCTGAGTCTGAGCCCCGCTGGGCGCGGCAGGCCCCTCCTGCCTCCCCGCTGCTCCCCTCGGCAGTGGGTTTCTGTAGATGCGCCTGCTCTGCTCCCCACTCTGTCTCTGGGGAATCCTCTCACCCCCGCACCTCTGCCCTGTACCCCAGTTCTTGTATGTGTAAATAAATAAGTAAATACTGATGTAATTAAACCTTGCAGAGGTTTTGCAACAAGATTTAGTGGTCGTCATTTAATATGAAAGAGCAATGGGCAAGTAGTCAGTCCACCCGGAGCTGTAAAGTCCTCTTATTCAAGCTGAATGTCAGCCCTTTATTTTACACAGACTATTTCATAGTAAAACCCACTCAAAACTGTCCTTTAATGACAAGAGCCCAAAGCCCTGCCCTCGGGTTTGGAGAGCGTCCATGGTCCGAAGTCACAAGCTCCGGCTCAGACCTGGCCCCGGGCCCAGGTGACGACACGAGGCCCAGGGACTGGCAGAGCCGCTGCGCACGGGCTCGATTCCAGGTGGGCAGGATCGCCCGTCCACTTCCCTGCACCTGGCAGCTGCAGCCCTGCTGTCCACCCGAGGGAACTGCGGGGGAGGGGGGAAGCCCCAGGGCATCGCTGCTCTGGAGCCCTCGGCCCCGGGGGCTGCCTTCTCCGCTCCCAAGTTCAAGACGGAGAGTGGCTTCCGCCCCTTCCCGCCCAGACAACAGAAGCAGAAGGCCTCTGTTCTGACAACAAATCAGAGGGGCCGAGCACTCCCGCACTCACTTTTCTCTCCGAGGGAGGGATTTTGATCGACCGTCCGGTCTGGTTAGCAATGTCCAGGTACGGTGTGGCGTCTGGGTCCACCGCCATCTCATCTGCAACGTTACCACGGCGTCAGCGGCACTGGCCGTGACAGGCGAGCGCCAGGTGGCCAGAGGGGCCAGTGACGCGGGCCCCCACCCCCATCACACTCGTGAGGTCGGCGCTCACGCCCGGGCTACCTCTCTCCGCCAGGATCTCCAGGCCTCTCTTGGTCCTCTGAATTCTTCTTTCTGTAAGTTCCGCTTCATTGTGCAACTCTTCCTCAATCTGGAAGTTTTTCCTCACGTCCTCTTCAGACTGCTTGAGCTCCAGCACCATGGCCTTTACGTTGTGGGTCACTCCTTGTTCTTCCAGGGTCTCCCCTGCAGGAGGCAGAAACGCGCACCATAGAGAGTGTCCTTACATTTTCTGGACTCCAGTCTATGTCAGCTGGAGTTCTTGACACAGCAGGCCACTCCATGGCAGGAGGCCACTCCATGGCAGGAGGCCACGTCACTGGCAGGAAGCGGCTAGAATCAGCCCGGGAACACAGCAACTCCATCCTTTCTTATGGTCTGTTTTCTTCATAAAACTAAATCGCAACAATAGACTTAGAGCCTGCTACAGGGAGCGCCCTGTGCTAGGCAACAGGAGGGAAAATGAGGGTGCACAACACCCCCCAGCTGAGAAACAATAATCCCGTTCACAGTCAAGCCAAGGAGCTGTATACAGCAGGCCCCGAAGAGGCGCTGACTGCAGTGGTTAAAAGAAAACCCACTCCTTTCTAAGGAAACAGCGCTCGGGCCCTCTGTTTTTCCCATGTAGAGTAGAAATGAAGGCGAGGGCAGAAATCAAAGACAGGGTCACCGGGTGTGACCCCAGCCCAGAGGTGGCGCTCTGCGAAATGTCAAAAATGCAAACTTCACAGAAAAGTGAGATGCAAATGGAAATGGGTAAAGAGCTTTTACAAATAACAGCATTTTACAAATGTAAAGAGATTTTAAAGTAACAAGCTATTGTGAACTGTGAGCATTTAAACTGAAGACATTTCTAGAAAAAAGTAGCTGAGAAAAGCCCCCAGTGGCTCTGCCACGGGAGAGTTGGGGGCCGCAGCTTTCGCAGGTTTCAGAAGCAGCAAAGCAGTGCTAACTGTGGTTGGTTCTGGCCCAGGAATAAACCACAGGCAAACCGAACAGTGCGTGCAGGAACAGAACCACGAGACGGGTCTCCAGAATCTGTGGCTAAAGCCCGAGGAGAACAGGGAGATGAGGGGCCTTTCACACACAGGGCTGGGCAGACGCCGACCCGAGCCGACCCGCGCCGGTGAAGCGAATGCAGGAGAGGCAGACGCTCCCGGACACCCTGGGGCTGGGCTTGCCAGCAGCCGAAGAGCGTTGCAGGGCAAAGCCACCAGAATGCGGCTAGAGACGGCGCGGACGCCAGACGTCTAACCAGAGGTGCGGGCGCGGGGCTGGGCAGCGCAGGGTGCTGGCGCCAGCCAGCCAGGCGGCGACTGAGCTTGTGTAGGCCACAGCAGCCCGCCGGGCACCCTGGGGCCAGAGTGTGCACTGGGCTGCGCAACAGGTAACTGCCCCCAGCACCAGGGAAGTGCCCACCTCGCTCCTGCACATCCGCTCCCCTCGGGCTCCTGCAAACAGCCACGGAACCAGTGTCAATGGTGTCAGTGGCATCCGCTTCTCTCCAGAGATTCCCTAGTCGTGAGTGAGCCCCCGACCTTCCTCAGCCCGCCAATGCACCGAGGGGCTCTCCACGTAAGCAGCCCCACCGCGCCCTCCTGCACCCTGCCCGCCCACAGCACTCTAGTCGCAGCCTCCTCCGCTCTGACGGAGGACAAGCTGCGTTTACTGGTGGTTTCCGCGCCACATTCTGATTTCAGCAAACTCTGAAATAGTTGGTTTTCATGGCACATGCAGTAAAGCCACCAGAGATGCTTCTACACAGAATGAGAAAGATGCAGTCATTCTTCCCACATCACCTTGGCTAAGCTGTGGCGTGCTTGGCCAGAACGTACCTAGTTGCAGTTGTTTCCTATTTATGACAATTTTGATATAATTTTCTTGAAATCCAAAGGTTTCAGCTATTCTGTAAAATAAACCACAGAAATCAGATTTGTTACTGTCCATCAAACAGACCTGAACACGGCAGCCGCAGTCTGGGTGTGGGCCGGTATCTCAACTCCTGGCCGGGACCGCCCCGTGACAGCACAGCCCTCGCCGCCTTCCCCAAGGTGCGTGGCTGTGTGCCCGCGAGGGCTGCGCCCAGCTCCATCCCTAACTGCCCTGCCACAGACCCAAGGGAGGTCAGGCATCCACTCTAGAAAGACTGCCCGGGGAACCGCGCCCACAGCCTTTAAAAGTACGAAATACAATAAGTGGATGAATTAGCTGAGCAGGCCTCAGAAGTCAGGACCTCAGGGCCTGCGTGGGCCCACTGAGGCCTGAGGCGGATCCCGCCAGGGAGTGACCGCAGGGCATGGCAGGCCTCTCCTGTCCTCCCTGCTCCCTCAGCAGGGGAGTTCTACCCTGCCTGACCTGCTTTTCTCTCTCTCTCTCTCTCTCACGCAGGCATGTGAGGGGGCAAGTCCCTCCTCTTAAGCTCCTCCTGGGCCTCTGAGCCTGCAGCCTCCATTTCTCACCCAGGCACGCAGCAGCGCCGCCCTACCGGCTCACAGGACGGCCCTAGGGGGCCAGGGCCAGGGCGAGGGCGCCACCGCAGGGCGGGAGCACACACTTACTTGGCCCTCAGTTCTCTGCCAGTGATGTGCAGTCGGGTCTCCAACAAGCTTTTCCTGTCCTATTTAAAAAAAGACAAAATGATAGGAAAAGGTACTTAACTCGATCCTTGGGTGCTGTCACCTCTGTGGAGGCGGAAGGGCTGAAGGGGGGACCACCAGGCAGGGCACCAACAGGCCTCGCGAGAGGAGCAGCTATCGAGCTGGCCTGGCCATGCGGCCCTGCGGCCGGCAGCGCTCCAAGGGCAGGTGCTCAGGGCTTCCTGCGGGGCCGCCCCGCTGCGGCCCGGGCACGGCCACTGACTCGCCGACGGGCAGACCCAGAGGCACGTCCCCGTGAGCAAGGGACATCCCCCGGGGGGCGGGGGAGTGGGAGGCCCTCCTCCGAGTGGCGGAGCCTGAGGGAGGCACGGCCTCTCCATCCGCTGCGACTCCTGGGACG